GGGGAGGGGAGAAGTAAAGGAGGGGGAGAGAGGGAAGAAGGAAGAAGGGAACAGACTATATTCCTGCCTTCAGGGAGCTGACAGCCTCATCAGGGAGTCAGACTTTAAACACCTAAACAAGGACATAAATATGTAATTACAAACCGAGAAGCAGACATGAAGCAACAGAACTGATGCTGGAGTGAGACTAACAGCGGAAGACCCTTCTTTAGAATGAGGATTAGGAAAGGCTCTTGGGGGAGGTGACATTTCAGCAGATCAAGCCACTTAAAAGTGAAAAAAAAATTAGACTTGAGGGAAGGCTTCCAAGATCAGCCAGGCTAGACCATGAAGGACCTTATCAGACATATAGAAAAACTTCAGAATTTACTCCGAGGGCCCAGTGGGATGATGAAGAAGGAGGGGCCCATTAAGCAGAGGTGAAGTGATCAGACTTGCAATTGAGAAATAACCCCAGCTTGAGAGCAAGGAAGCCAGATTCTCACCCACAGCCTGTGGGTTCCCACAACTCTCCCTTCTGTTATATTGTGCATCCCCTGCTTTGTTCACGAAGACCCAGATGCCTGGGTTACCAGTATCTAAATTCTACAGCTGCTCAGAATGCAGACCCCCATACTCACAGTCTCTGGCTCCCAAACTGGAATTCAAATTTAATTCCCTGATATGCTTACTTCCCAGCCTGACATCATCACGTTCTTTAACTGATGTCAGAATGTTTTTGACATAATCTACAGTCATGGAGACTACAGTTTCTTAACTCAGAAATACATACATATATACATCAAAAAATAAATCGATGGTGCTTTTTCTTTCTTTTTTTTTTGGCCAGGCTGAAAAATGAGGTTGATGAGTCATACAGCAGATAAAGACACCTCTATCCAAGGAGTATAAGCAATGAAGCAGAGCTTTTCTATGCAACCTTTGAAGCCCTGCATACAAAGTAAATAAATGAGTAAGTGAATGAATAAACCACTAAACATTCTGCTGTCTTCCTGCTCATCACCGTCTGGCAATGAGGAACAGCAGACTCGGCGGAGACAAGCCACGGTTTTGTCCAGACATATGTTAGTTGCATTCATCATTACCTTCCTTAGGCTAGAGAACTGCTCTGCGCACGCAGTTAGCCCTGCTCTGCTTTGTAACAATTCCTCCTCATTCATCAAAAGACCAGAGATTAAAACTGCTCCCCCACCCACTCAGATCTAAGGTGATCTTACACAGCCCAGGAAGGTACTAGCTTTTGGGCAGCCTATTAAAAATGCAGAAATAGCTTGTGGGTCTACAGTCAAACTATTAACAATCAGACTTCACAGATTCAGGCTGTAGACTTCCCAGGTGAAAGGAGGTCATAGGAAGCAGGTCAAAATGAGAGACACGGTGCTTTATTAGAGAGCGAGACTCCAGTTACTGCAGCTGAGCTGTGCTTCACTGGGATTACATTTACCTTGAAGAATCCTTCCTTCCAAAACATAGTGATGTGAAATTAACCACAGCAACCTCCCTCCCCGCTCTCCTGTTTTGTTCATGCTGGGCGCCCCACTGCCCTCTCCGAGAACACCATCTCTTTCTTCCTTTGGCTTCACTCTCTCCTCCACCCCTAATCTCTGGCCTCGGTGAGAACACTGAGCCTCCGGTTCCTTATCCTGTCCCTAGAGGTTCCAAAATGATACCATCAGGGGGTTATTTGGTGTCTGGTGCTGTGCCTGATCCGATTCTGTGATGCAGATTCTATTCTTATCCCCATTTCATACATGAGGATGTTGGGGTTTAGAGAGTTGAGTGACATGTCCAAGGTCACAAAATTGTAGGTGGTGGAACACAAATTTGAACCTGCTTAAGTTCCAACGAAAGCCAAAGCCCCACCCCTATGCTGTTCTTCCCCCAAATATTTACCCCGAGATCCAGCCTCATACTCCCTGCTGTCTCCTGGACGTCTCTACGAAGATGTCCTCAGGAGCCACCAACTCCACACACCCAAGCCTGACCGTGCAATCCATCTCTACGCTCCTTGGCTAGACACTCTAGAAGCATCAGGACGCTGCATGTTGGCTTTCTTCGTTCAAATCACACCTTTCACTTGTTTCCCTCTGTCCCTTCTGTGTTGCTCCAACTCATGCTCTCACCACTTGACCAAAGGACAGTAGCCACAGCCACCCAGGTGGCACAGCTCCTGATATGCAAAGTGGCACGAAGGAAATGGGTGTTTGGACAGAAAAGCCAGAATCTCAGTCCCGTTTCTGTCCATTTCAAGCGAGGGGATATTGGCCAAATTCTCACATCTATAGGAAAGAGGTAGTATCAGCAGCCGCTCAGAGAGGTTATGAGGGTTAGAAATAGCGCATGTTAAAATGTACATTGAGATGCGCTTACTTAAGAAAGTCCCACAGAATAATGTAGGTTCTCGCTTGCCTCTTAGTGCCTCAGTTTCCCCTGCAGGTAAAATGGGAGCAGTAGCGCATGACTCACAGGGTTGGGGGGAGATTAAATGAGTTACTACTTGTGGCCCAGGAGACAAGCACCTGGCACACAGTGAAGCACCGCTGTCATCACCAGCCTAGTGTCCCCTGCCCTTTTCTCTCTGAGGGCACAGCACACACTCAGTTTTGCATCCCTGCTTGGTACGAAATCAACATACACGTTTATTTTTCTTTTCCAGCCAGGGGCTGAGCTGACTTTCGTACTCACTGATTTTCCCCTCTAGCAGTTGGTCTGCTTGGCTGCACACAGTAGGGCCTCAAAAATACAAACTGAGTATCTCTGAATGACTGCGCTCTCCTCACAGGGGTTCTTTGGATAGCAATTTTGTTTCCCTACCCTTTTCTTTTTCTGGACTTTATTGCGGACACATCTGGGCAGCTTCACAAGGCTTATTTTCAAACTTTGTAAAATGACTGGAGGGGGGAGATGAATGTCCTTTTCAGCTGGAGTTGGGCAAACTGAATGGCACAGCAGCCTCCGCTGTGCTGTATAAGAAGCAAACAATTGCAGCAAGCTTCGTCAATAACGTGCTCAGACAGCAGCAAATGAGAAATGGCTGGGGCTCTGAGGGACTTGGCCTCTGGAATGGTGTCTTCCTGGGACTTGAGAGACCAGCTCTTCAAAGCTGAGTCTCTTGGTATTGAACCCTAGTCTCCCTGCCTGTCAAGCTGTGGTTTGCCCTGAGAAGTGCCCAGAATTCCTTCTGCTCTGCTTTAAGCTAAATACATGACATTTTATTTTCTGAATTTAGAGATGAGCCATCTACTATGATGAACAATTGTCTGTCTAAATACACTCCATCCCACATGCAACCCCCTGATGAGACTCTCCGTACCATTTACTTGTTCCTAAGAAGCGCTTCGTGCTGCATGTTCTGGCAATTTTGTTGCTTTATGTATTTGCTGTCATTTATATCATAAGTTAGTGAGATGCTGTGAAAATGACGATGGCTGAGTAAGAGAAAAGCTTGCGTTTTTGGCACCAAAGGGTTTCCACACCAATATCCATTCACCAATACCCCACTTTCTTTGGAAACATCGGTGGCACACTGTGCATTCATTTTTAGCTGGCTGTCTACCCTTAACTCAGATTCACAGAAATAAAGGAGAATTATGGAGTTTGTCTGGACCAGGAATGGCACATACATTCCATGTCTAGAAACATGTCTAAATGATCAATGGGTGGTAACTTCTAGAAGCACTGTGTTGGAAAAGATTCTCAGGTCGAGCCAGGGGTGATCACTAATATGTGCCATGGGTATGGTGACACAGTAGGGCAATCAAAGCTCATGCCCCTTATTTGCCATCTCAGACAAAGAACTGTAGAATTGGCAGGTAAGCGATGCTCACACTGCCAGTCACGCTGTCTTTGCTGCGCAGCTGCGGAAACTGTGTTTACTCCTTTACCCACATGCCACCACTGAACAAAGTCAGCAGATAAATCGGGTTTATGGAGAATGTGGCAGATGGAAAAAGGTAGTGATAATCCTAGGCTTTGAAAAATTGGGTACGGCCAGACCAGCAGACAGGAGAAAAGGCTAGCTACACCAAGCAGACAGCACATCATTGTTATTTCGTGAGGGTCTTTCTGAGTGTCTTTCCTTTCTTTCTATAATCAAGAAGCCATGGAGTCTCTGAGCTCCTGGTGAAGGAAGTAGGTGAGTCCATTGTAGCAATAGATGACACAGTCAGGAAGTGCCACCCCTGAAGTTTATGGCACTTCTAAAGTGTGTACACGTGTGTGCAGGTGCAAGATCAGTGTACACATGAGCCTGGAAAAGAACGAGCACCAGTATAGGCAAAGGAGCAGCACCGGATACAACGGTTGCCTTGCTATGCACCTCCAGTGGGTCACTGCGGTTCTTGCCTGCCCGGCATCCATTTTGCTTCTTTGGATAACAGGATCCTAATTTACTTTAATAGAGAACCCTCTTTCACTCTCAGTCTGCATGTTTTAGGTGGGGCTGACTCCACTCAGGCTTCAGGTCAAGGCGTGTGACCCAGACTTAGCCAACCAGAGAACCATAACCCAATGGACACAGTGATTGTTTCAGGGATGGGTGCAGGATCTAATGAGCCAACAAGATTCAATTTCAAGGCTTTGTTGTCAGTATCACAAAGAGGTGGTCTCTCAGGTGACTTTAGATGGGGAGAATGGAGTGGAGGTACCGAGACCTCCACATTGGGAAGCAAGGAGGGATGTGACTCTAAGAGCGAAGCCAGCAGAAGGAAAATGGAACCACATGATAAACATGGATCAAAGCTGGTCTTATCATTTGGGCACTGGTTTAATTATGTTTAGACATAGCCAAGCCTAAACATAGAGCTGTCTCAGAAATAGTGTAATTACATAAGCCCATGATTCCTATCCCTGCAAACTCCCACCATTTTTTGAGTTTGGTTTCTGTCATATGTAACAAAAGAATCTTGGCCAATAATAAACCAAATACTTATTTTCCACATAAAATATACAGACCCCAATGTTTCTCCTTGGACCCAATTTACCCCAAACAGTTATGTTACCTGTAAGGAGCCCTGGATGTCTTTCCCCCCGACGATCACGAGTTCCGCCATGTCCTCCTCATGGGGAGTCCGGGCATGGACGAAAAGGGTCTTGCCCACTGCAGTTATGTTTCTCAGAGCGACTAAATCACCTTCATTGTTCACCTTGAAGTATGGGCTTGAGACCTCATAGTGTAGCTTGGTATTTCCTTTACAGTCACTGAAGTTCACTGGAGAAAACAAATAGAAACAAACAAAGACAGAAAGCATGTGAGTAGGTTGCGAGGCACAGTCCTGGAGGTATCTCTGACTACACCATGTGAGTCATCAGTCCCCACCCCAGATCCACAAATGCTGTCCCTTCTCTCACAGCACCCCCATGAGCTCCTCTGACTTTGACCATGCTGAAGGGCTTCACTCCATCAAGACCTGTCCTGGCTAATTTCCCACTTGCCAGGCAGGTGCTAAGCAATGAGGATGCAGAGGGAAACATGACCGTTTCTTTGCCCTTGAGTGTAGCTATGCTGTGCCTGTATAAGTGGTACAGAATCCTGTTACCAGTGGTACCACAACCCATTGTTTGTGCACGCATTTGCCTGTTTCCTCAGTACACCGCCAGGCCCCTGGAGTGTAAGCACAGACTTACATATACTACCTGCATTCCCCCTCCCTCTACTTTTGTTGTCTTCACTCTCTGTTGAACAGGTTTATTTAGTAAACCTTTAACTGAAGCATATCGTAGAAATAGAAAAGTAGATAAATCAGAAAACTCGATGAATTTTCACAGTGTGGGCACACCCATGTACCCAGTGCCCAGACCTAGACACAAAATATTACCAGTCCCTTCTTCCTCTCCATCCTGAGTAAAATCCCTATACTCCTCCCCAGAGGCTGTACTATACTGACTTCTAATAACATAGATTAGTTTGACCTGTATTTGCACTTCATACAAATTACTATACAGATTGTGCTCTTTGTGCCTGGCGTTTTTCACTCAACATTATGTCTGCAAAATTTGACCATGTAGCTGCGAGGCATGGCTGTTTACCCTAATCACTATGTACTATTCTAGTGTGTGGCTGTGCTGAGTTTATTTATCCATTCTTTTGTTGATGGGCATCTGAGCTATTTCCAGTTTAAGTCTCTTAAATATTGCCACTCGGAACTTCCCTGTGTCTACATAGGTCCAAGTACATCATTAAATCCATATAAATTTTTGATGAATTAAACTGATCTTTTCCTGGCAAGATTAATTCTTACAGTGGTAATAATGATATTAGCTGATAATGATAATAGCTAACAAATTGAATACTTCCCACACTTGAGGCTGAGTGTTAAGCAGTTTACATATATTATCTTATTTAATCTTTATAACAACAATGAATGAGGGACAGTTTTGATCCTCTCTCCCAACAGATTATAGATCAGGTAACTGAGGTTCAGAGAAGGCAAAGGAGGTGACCAACACACACAGCTGGTAAACAATAAACCAAGATTTGAAACCTGGCCTCTTTGCCTTTCACCACTACATGTTCTCAAAACAGACAAAGCCCCAAGTAGAATAGATCCCTCCTGCAGTTCCATCAGAGCCTGAATATAATGGCATGAGGACCCAGTTCAGGCCTGCTCCCAAGTTCCCACCGAACCCTGAAGTGTATTGCATAGCGTTGCCTCAAGGTCCCTCTGTGTCAGGACTCCAGAGCCTTTCCTGGCTGCCAAGTCAGCTTGAGGGGCATCTTTGTATGAACACCCAAGTGGACTCTTGGGAGTCTACCATTCCCAATGCTCGCTCACTTCCTCTATCTTATTAGCCAAGAATAATTGGGCAGGACTGGATTCAGTTTTGGAAGTGAACTATGAAAGAGAGACATCAGCATTGCTTTCATTGTCATCAAGTAGCATCCATGCACTGGGGGCACGGTGTTCAAATGAAGGGCCCACTGGGAACTTGTTGCCTGAATTACGAAGATGTTGATTCTGGACCTGGCCTCTGGGCAGGATCCAAGCAGGCAAACTCATCTGCGGAGGGGTGGGGCAAGCAAAAGCATACAAAAGTCTGTGGGGGTTCTAGTTTCATGCTTAAGTCCTTTACTTTCTTCTTTCTTTCCTCTCTCTTTCATTTCTTTCACAAAGATTTACTGAGAGCCTACATTATGCTAGTTGCTTGGATTACAGATATTAACCCCAAACCTTGTAAGTAGTAAGGGACCTATTCCAGAGAGATAGAATTATAAGATGTGCAAACATCCTGTGGCATTCAATAAACTAAATAAGCCAGTGAGATGGGCACAGAAAGCAAGGAGGAGAAAGTGGAGGTCAGCTGAGCCTGGACAATGTGGGGCCTGAGAGGGCACATAAAGACTCATTCTTTGAAGGAAGCCCTTCCTTCATCACTTTAGCACTGACTGGCTTCCATCTGAGTCTCACACAACTCCAGACCAGCACCCAGGGTCCTCCATGTCCGGGCTGTCCCCTGGGCTCCCCCTTGGCTTCTGTCTTCACTCTGAGCTTCACATGTGACCATACCTCTGCCTCTCTGTGCCTACTGTTCTGGCTCCACCTTTTTGCTCATATTGTTCCCTCTGGGCAGAAGGTACTTTCCACCCTCTTTGCCCCATTAACTCTTAGTCATTCTTTAGGATTCAGCTCAGGCAACTTCTCCAAACACCCTCCTTGTGTTCCTAGAGCTTTCTGTACCTAAGGCCTTGCATATCATGTTACATCAACATGTCCATTTTATGTGTCTGCGTTTCCCACCAGAACCAAAAGCAAATGTTGCATCTTATTCTTTTATTCATCTCTACATCTCCGGCAATGAACAGAAAGTTTTCTATACATGAGACTGTCACTAAAGGTTCATTTAAATCTATTATTCTCCAGGGGCAAAACGATGCTCTAGTGGTGGTGAATCCAGGGCTCATCTTCCATTCTGGGAGCAAGAGACACTGCAGACCAGGCCAAGATTCAGAAAGAAGACCCCTTACTCTCTTGTCTTAGTTGAGCTTAGTCAAGCTTAGTGGTAGAGATAAATAGGAAATGAAGAACTCCACCTATGGTCCCCCCTTAAATCCCTAGGCCCTGAGTACATCAATTCATTATAGCACTGAGCCTCCCATGCTTAGCTTTGGCTTAGCTGGTTGGTAAAGTCAGGGATGGTGGTTTACCTTTCTTCTTAATTCCAACAAAGCTTCACGTAGCTCCTAAAGCACGGGATCAGTGTCTGCATGTTGAATGAGAGAATGTTTTGACAAGTACAGTAACATCTACCATGTACTGAGTGGAGTCTGAGTGCCAGTCTCTGTGCCGAGGATTGCACAGCCAGTCTCTCCTTTTAGCCTCATAGCAATTCGATCTACAGCACCATTTTGCAACTTTCAAAAAATTATCTACCCACCCCAAAGCTTTTCAGATATTTTTGCCTAAATGCCAACCCTCTCATGAAATTTTCATGTCAGAGATATCTGTTTGTTGTAATGTCACTGCATAACTATCATCAATATTTACTGCATGCGTATTTGTACTTTGTACACACTGAGGAAGTACAATTTTGCTTTTCTCCAAGAGCCCATGTCACCCCTTTGGGGGCAACATAGCCCCAGTGGAATGCACAGTCTCTAAGTGTCACTTCCATTTTACGGGAGGAGATACTGAGCTTTGGTGGGGGAGTCACTAACTTGCTCAGCATCCCATATCCTGAAAAGATAAGAACCTGTTGTTCCCAGTCTGATCTGTCTACCTCTGCAGTTCAAGTTCGCAGCACGTCCATTTCCCTGAAGTGGGTACATGAGAGGAGAAGGGCAGACACCCTACCCCACCACTGCAGGCCTGTCACTAACCCGTCTGGAGTCCTCAGGGGTACCAAGTAAGGGCCCTCCTGAAAGAACAAATCTACATTCAGGACCTGGTACACTGTGGCCACTCAGTACATTCTAGCTTTCTTCCCAACTTGCTGTAATCAAATTGCTAAGGGCTGCATAACTGGGTATTTTATTTTATGTCAGACATATTTCATCAGATCAGGAACAGGTGCTTTAGATTGTGGTTCTTTTTCAAGGCTATGATAATCACTTGGAGAGTATTTTTAAAAAATAGCAATACCTACCCCAAAGAGATCCAGATATACCTGGGCTGGGCTGGGGTCCTAGCACTGGTAGCTTTGTAAAGCCTCCAGATGAATCTAATGCAACTGGGACCGAGAACCAGGACCTGGGACAGTGAATTGCTTGTTAAGATGCTGGGTATCCTTATTTCCCAGCCTTTCCCGGCACAGAGAGGAGCCTGAAGAACTAGCAGGCCAGAAACTGCTATCCCCATGCCCTAAGAAAGGACATTTTTAATGGTAAGTATTTAAGCCCCTTCCTATTCTGGCTCATGTGTAGCAAGCAGCCACAGACCTTAGGCTTATCACCCATGCTCTTTATACCTCAGTGTCTTCATCTGTAAAGTGGAACAAATAACAGTGCCCCTTCACAGATTCTATAATTCGAATGGTGAGCATTAGCAAGATAGTATGTACCTACATGCACAGAGCCCTTAAGACAAGCCTTGGTGCTCCATGTGTAGAAATTATGGTCATCGTTATTCCGGTAATTATGGGCATTAAGGAAACTGCCATTTGTTTTTCATCCATAGCTTCCTTCTTCCAGCTGCTTTTCTGCCTGCATTCTGGGTCCTTCCACCTCCTTCTGGTCAGGTATCTGTGCTCCAGCCTGCTGGCTGTGTGCGGTTTCCATGGGGATGGTTACTCTAGGCATCTCCTCTGAGGCTAAAGGAGAGAGGCAGATGATTCTGACCCAGCCTTGCCCATCTTTGAACCTTCTCACTTGCCTTAGCAAAGCCCACCTATCTCATGTGAGAGGTCGTGCAAGAAAAATACCATCGAAGGAGTAAAATTATGGTGCTCTGCCCACAGGAGATTCAACAAAGTTTTGTTAAATATTCTTTAAATGGATTGTTTGTAAAGATGACTTCCTACAACTGAAAGGTATCATTTTCCCCAAAAGAATGACTGCACTGAGAGCTTTACATGCACGGTCGCAATGAGTCTTCACATTACCAGTCCGAGGTAGGCACTTCTTTTCTTCTCTGGAAACAGACTCGGTGAGGCTGAATGAGGTTAAGGCTGCACAGCCTTGCTGGTCCACTTAGGCGAGTGTATTCCTTCCTTCAATCACTCTGCTCCTAGCCTCCAATTTTGCCATACTTTCATACCTGAACTATTACTTACTTA